GTGTGTGTGTGTGTGTGTGTGTGTGTGTGTGTGTGTGTGTATACTCTACATGCCTGGTTCTCACTGTGAAGCATGGAGGAGGAGGTGTGATGGTGTGGGGGTGCTTTGCTGGTGACTCTGTTGGGGATGTATTTAAAAYTGAAGGCATACTGAACCAGCATGGCTACCACAGCATCTTGCACAGCATGCGATTCCATTCGGTTTGCCTTTAGTTGGACCATYATTTATTTTTCAACAGGCAGTGACCTCAAACACAACTCCAGGCTGTGTAAGGGCTATTTGACCTAGAAACAGAAGGTGTTCCAAGCACGGCCATTCACAATTATCCTGTGAGGCAGCACTGAATGTCTAAAGAAAAAACAAACAAACAAACAGTACTTTGGCCACACACACACCAACATTTTCAACACACACATGCTAGATTAGATTAAGACARCAATTACCCCCAGGGGAGACAGACAGATCGACCATTCACGGAGACACTATAAGGATTCTTTCCATATTTACTTATCATTATCCCTACGAAGGAACTCTCCGGAACTGGATGTGCCGTGATCCTGACCTATTTAAACACAACAGCTTCAATGAAAATGTTGGATGGCCGTCCTTCCTCAACCCAAGGGTCTCTCAGCGTTCCAAACGCAGCGTCCCAGACACATGGCACAACCCTGGGTCCATGATACACGAAACACACCACAGGAATTGCGGCTAAGCAAACCCCACAGGGAAATAACCTGAGCTATCTCCCTGCTGGACAGCCTGTACCTGCCCCCTAGAGTTCCCTGAACTCAAAACTCTGTCCAGTCCCAGAGGTCCTGAAAAAAAATAGAATTTTTGTGCAATGTGCCGAATTAGATATATTTGTGATTTTTGTACTAAAATAAAGATTATCTCACAGTGTTTCTGCCAAAACAAAGGTTCTTTTATCCAGCGTGGAGTCATTGGGCCTCATGCAAGAACATGTTTCTTATCCTAAATTTCTCTTACTTTTGTTCGTACAAAGGGTTCGTACGAACATGCCACGTCAGATTCAACAAACGCTTCTATCTTCAGGAAAAGTGCGTAAATGAGCTGCGTAATTTACACCCGTTCTATCCAGCTGCTCGTGCACGCGAGAGGAGATTAAC